GGATAGGGATGTCCTTTGCACGCTGCAAATCTAAGGATAGGGATGTCCTTTGCATGCTGCAAGTGCAAGGAGGGAGGGTTTGCAAACTGCTAACTCAAGGAGGGGGTGCTAATAGAGAGGACCCTTTGCAAGCTGCAAATCTGTGGGTGGTGGGGGCCAGTGTGGGATCCCTTAGCTAGCTGCAAATTCAAGGGCAGGGGGTCCTTTTGCAAATTGTGCATTCAGTACAAAATTTGGGAGCAAGGGAGTGAGTTGGGGGAGTAACGAGCTGCAGGCGGGGAGGCGGTGGGGAGCGGCACTGCCAAGTGCCCAGTTTTGCTGCTTTCTGAAGGAGCTGGAGCCTTGCAAGGGGGGAAGTTCTGCTGAAGGGGCGGCAGTGTGGGATGGGGGATCCCCATGCACGCCAGATGCACTGCCTGCAATGCTGCGCTCTGCCCGCAGCCCTCTCCCACCTGCTGGCCGTCAGCCGTCCCCGTGGTGGCGGGGCTGCGGGGCGCCCTCGTCTGTGCCGCCGCTGCTGCCTTGGCCGCCACCAAGCTCTGGCCCAGGTGACAGGGCTGTGGCCTTGGGCGGGGTTGGGGGTAGCCCTGTGATGGGTGCCACATTTCAGTCCCAAACACCCCTTTTTCCACCCAGGCTGAGGAAGCTCTGGGGACCGCCAAGGACTGAGGACACCCTGGAGCTGAGTAGCAAGCAGGAACAGGTGCAGGTGGGATGCGCTGGGCACCAGGACCCTCTCCCGAGCCCTGGGGACATGTTGGGTCCTGCCGGTCTCAGGCTGGCCCCAGGGCTCAATGCAGGTCCAGGGCACAGGGACAATCCAGGACCACCTGGTCCCGTGGCTTCCACGTCTCTGCTGACCCCAAGGTCCTTCTCCAGGTGGACGGAGCCTCTTAGACTGGCACCTCTGTGATCCAGGAGCTGCCCTGCACAGACCCCCCTTGCCTGGCTGCATCCTGGCCACAGCTGTGGATTCCCAGCCCTGGGCATGGAGCCGGCATTGGGAGGGACTCACCTGGGGAGTTGCACCTCTGGGGAGCCTCAGCCCCAACGTCCCTCTGCACCCTCCTCTTCTCAGCCCGTCCTCCTGTCCCCGTTGTGGAGGAGTCTGTCCCCCCATGGATGCGGTTCTCACTCCGGCAGGGTCTCCAGTGCCGAGGACGGTGCATGGTGTCCCACGTGTGCTAGATCCCAGGATCTGTGACTGCTCAGAGCCCCCTCTGGCTGCCAGGCCCAAGGAACTCTTGCTGGGCTGGTGGCAAGAGTGATGCCTCCGGGTGCCTGGAATAAACTCGGAGCAGCGAGTGATGTGTTTCTGTTCAGAGGGGATCAGAAGGGGCCCTGGCCTCCCCTGCGTCCTGTCCAACCTTTGGCTGAAGGAACATTCGACCCTCAGCTTTGGCCAGGGGATCAGCCTGGGATGAGCCCAGCTCCCACGTGGAACTGCAGGGATGAGTCTGCCCTTCGCTCGCTCATCCCATTCTCTTCTCAATGGGGCCCTTAAAAGGCACCCTGGCAGGCGTTGCGCAGGACACAAGACACGGATGGGATGGGATGGGATGGGATGGGATGGGATGGGACGGGACGGGACGAGACGGGACGGGACGGGAAAGCTGCCCTCCCTGTGCCCAGCCTGCAGGGCCGGTGCCTGCACGGCCCCTCCGTCCGTCCGTCCATCCGCTGCCGTTCTCCACCCGCGCACATGCGGTGCCGCGGCTGCAGCTCGGGAGCGCGGGCGCACGGGCGCAGCGCTGCTTGCGTGGGCCCTAATCCCACACTCTGCCCGGGGCATCGGGGCTGCAAGGTGGGGGGGACAGGCCGAGGACAGGCTGCAGTGTGACGAGGGGACGTCCTGACGGAATGGGTATACACATGGCAAGACCAAAGGGAGCTTGTGCCCGGTCACTCAGGCTGTTTTGCAGCGCGGAGCCTACTTTGGAAGTCCTGGTGTGGAAGGGGTGGTGACACTGAATGCTGCAGGCTATGCCAAAGCTGGGGGCAGCGGAGCAGGACACTGCGTTCGGGAGCGTCGGGACCGAAACGTTCCCTGCTCCGCCACAGTGCAAACCAGCGCCAGCAGGATCTTCCCACAGCACCTCTTCCACCGGGAAAAAAAGCGGCCCCCGCTGCCGCCTCGGCTCATTGCGATGGCAGCACTGCCGCCGGGCGGCTCTGTCCCCGGCGTGGCAGCCCG